TTTCGCCCCTGGGGCCCACACCGAGGCTGAAAAAAAAAACAAAAAAAAAAAAAAAGAAGAAGAAAGAAAGAAAGAAATCCAGAGTAAGAGTTAGTGGAACTTTCCCTGGGATTGACAGAAACACAGAACAGCAGCCGTCAGACTGGAGGGATCACTGGTTACTATGGCTATAGTTTTTAAGACTTCCTGAAAAAAACACATTATTCAAGTTTCATCCAACTACCACCACAACAATCATCATCATCCCACTCTTCATCGCCATCACTATCATCATCTCTTCGACCAAACGACGAACACTGTCATCTCTACAACAAGGGAGGTATGACAACAACACGTGTGTGTGTGAATGTTCATACATGGCACTAAACACCAGCAGCAGTCGCCACCTTTGAAATGTCCAAACTTTGTTTGTTTTTTTCCCCCCCCATTGTTAATCGCATGTTCCCTCCATTTTTGTACGAAAAGGACCCCAGTCTCCACAGCAGGAACTAGTACCAGGAACTTGAGACGGTACCAAGCTGTTGATACATTTGCATCACAGGGACTGGAAGCAGAACAAAACTGTTCCCTGAATTTTCTTCCTGTGTTAGCAGCAGGAAGCAGGCAAAGGCCAAGGTGTCCTACGAAATGCTTCCTGGTAGTAAAAGTTCCTGGTAGTATGTGTTAAAAGCATGGTTAAAGTCTTTAACTTTCAGAACACACTCACCGACATCAGTCGGCAAAAACTATGCAAAGCTAGTGTTGAGCATTAACTTCGGAGGAGCTCCAGACGAGCCTTTAGCGCCACCTGTCTGGCTCTCAGTTTGTCTTTCTTGGTCTGCAGTCTCTCAGCCTGGTCCTCCAAGTTGTAAATACAGTCCCTGGCCTTCTTCAGGATCACCACCTTGGAAGCCTTGTCGTTGTGCGACACCTCGGGGACATTGTCGCGCAAACGGGTGAAGCAGTTCTTCAGCTCGTTACGCCGATGCCTCTCCATCACATTGTGTGTCCGCCGCCGCTCCTCATCATCCTCCGTTTCGGCGGAGTTTCTGGATGAGTGCTGGTGGTACTTCAATGACAACAAGCTGGAGGAAGAAGAGGAGGAGGAGGAGCTCCGAGACGAGTGGTGGAAACGTAGCGAACCGTCGTTTCCTCTGGAGCGTTTGTTGGACGACGGCGGCGGCGAAGCCGGACAGGGGGCGGCGTAGTTGTGCTGCAGCTGGATCTCGATGTGCTGACGTTGAAGCACTCGCTGCTGCTCCTCCTGTTGCTGTTGCAGGGTCACCTCAGCCAGTGAGGGCAAAGGGACGAGGCGAGAGGGACAGCGGACAACCGTCACCACATCAATTTCTTCCTCTGTGGATAAGAAGAAGAAGAAAAAAAAAAAACGGTTAAGAGATTTCACCTGACTATAAAGTGTGTCGGGAGAACTTCTTCCTGACCAAATGTTTTTCTAGTTTTGGCTAGCCATCTTTGAGCTTCTAACAGCCAAATTCATAAATAAAATTAAAAATGTAATTATTAAAAATTAACATGTTTGACTAGGACCGCAAACGGGCATCATTCATCACTTGAAGGAAAAACATTTGGCTCCACCCCCTGCTCCTGTGAGCTGTATATATAAGACGCAATTTGGTTCCCACTGAGTACGACCACATCAACATGACTCAGACTGTCACAAAAGTCTCATCCGCTGCAGATTACAGACTTCAGATGAAAGAAGGGAAGGTCCAGATAAGACCAGACCCCAGCTCAGTGCCACTAAACATTAACAGATTTATCCACGAAACATCACCCACTTGTGGCAGGTGGGTGGGTGGGTGGAGGCAAGTTCACTGTGATGACTGAAACATTAATTCAATAAATAATCTGCTTTTTGAAGTGCAACTGTATAAAAAATTTTTAAAAAAAAAATCACATCTCTTCATAATCTGCTTTTTGAAGTGCAACTGTAAAAAAAAAACTTCACATCTCTTCAAAAAATAGAATACATTTTTATGATGAAATAAAACCTCTCCTGTTCCGTTTGAATTTTTTTTTTTTACACATGACACTTCAATAAAAACAAACTGCTCACCAGAGTCACTGCATGATGTTGAGAGCTCTCCTCCAGTAGAGCTGTAGTCTGACGTGGCCTCACTGCTCTCCGGTGTGTCCATCAAATTCTGACAGTCCAGCGTGGTACCGGCGATCTCCTCGAAGATGCTGGTGTCAATCTGAGACAGCACTGGGCTGCAGCCCAGCATGGAGGAGCCCAGCTTCTCATCAAGGGTCTTTTCGGTCACCAGGCAGCTCCACAGACTCTCATCTCCGCTCTCCTCCAGCTGTATGCAGTGCAGTTCACGCGATTTGCACTCCTTCCCACAGGGGGCTGCAGAGTCCAGGTGGTGAAAGAAGTCACAGTTCCAATTGAGCTGCATGTCTTGGTCTTCCAGCAGAATGTCGGACACGTAGCTCAGCTGGTCTTCCTTGGAGAGGGGTTTGTCAGACCCCTGCCCAGTGCTCTTCATGGGCGGCGACTGTGGCGGCGTGGGCAGCCCCTGTATGTCTTTCATCAAACTCAGGCAGACCTCGTCGTCCATGAACAGCGGCTCTGAACAGAACCAGTCTTGAGACTGGGCAAAACTCTGCATTATGATGGATGGAGACGTTCTAGAAATAAATAAAACAGAACTGAATGAGGAGGAGGAGGAGGAGGAGGAAGACGAGAAGTCTAGTGATAGTCTAGAGGAGCTGAGTGATGCGGAGAGGCTCCACTCAGTCGCAGCAGCACACACACACGTGTCGTACTCAAAGTTTCTTTACAATGAGCACCCCAAGGCTGAGCCCCTCCTATTTAACTGTGTTTACATCACCCTGACTCCACCTTTCAACTTTAAAAATAACATCGAGGTGCCAGTGACATCACAGAAAGAGCTGTGAAATACACAGAGGGGTAAAACCCCAACACCTCCTCAAACAAATTTACATTTTTTCCATTTCGGTTTGCAGTAAATGTAACGTCCTGCTGACACAGAAAGAGTGGGAAAAGTCCTTTTGTCATCTTTCCTTTTGTGTTTTCTCTCGCACAATTTACAATTCACTGCAGGAGACACTTTACACCACAGTACCTGGGAAGGTACCATTTTGTAGTGCACTCAGCAACACCCAGGGCAATTAACCAAGTACAGAAAATCGTTAGAATCCAGTGTAAATCAATAAATACATACATAAACCCTTGGTTTCAATGGCCAATGTGTGTGTATGCGACTCCAAGAGAAAACACGTGTGTTAATACAGTATGTGTGTGTGTGACAGAACTCCGTCATTATACGATACTCGGTGACAGATTTAAACTCCAAACCGCGGTTAAACTGTCGATATGGCCGAGCTCCAGTGTTTGAGAACACCTTGTATAAACAAGCAGGCGTTTGTTCGAACATGACAATAAAAGGCCATTTCAAAATTTTAAACGTTGAGAGGATTTGCAGCAGCTTCACGTTCGACCACATGGTTGCGTTTACTGCGCGCACGCCGACAGACTTTAACATTTACATAAAAAACTAGTCGTTGTTTAAGTTTTGAAACGGATTTCCAAAAAAAAGTTCCGCATAAAATGTTATACTTTACACGTAAAAAGGAACCTCCCCAACCAGTGGGGAAAATAAGCAAGACCATTGTGTTGCGATTCATCTGCGACTAGGCTGCCAAAACCACGCCGGCAGGCATAACTCCAAGATCTGACTGACAAAATCAAGGACTATTTAACAGTTCACTTCAGCCGAAGTCAAGTATTTGTACACCGTTACCCATAAACCAACACGATAGCACAAAACTTTACGTAAATGTGGAAGTTTTTCCTTACTAAATATATAAATCGACGCATTGTGGGGGCAGGTTCGCTGCAGCGTCATGCCCCGTCACCATTTAGGATTCAATGCACGCATCAGCCACCAGTCGACCATTCGTTTGCACAATTCTACAATCAGATTTTAATACAAGTTTAAAAGAAACAACAAAAGAAATCCAAGACCTGAACGGCAATTACAATAAAAAGACCCTGATACTTCTATGACTTGTGTCTTTGTTACCAGCTTATTGATAAAAAAAACTCGGAAATACTGTTCCTCACAGACGAATGGATGGATTTGACACAGATGACTCAATGCTGAAGTGGACAATGCAGTAGTATACAAAATAATTATTTGATAAGTAAAAACACATACTTCAAAACTACGCCTTGGTTGCATATGTGCTGCGCATTCACTACATACCACAGAGTAGCATTCACTCGACTCCAACACCAGACTCCATGCAACATTTGGAACAAAACTAAGCGTTGCACCGATCTTGTATTTTTCCAAACCGGACTACAATAAAGCGTTGAATGCCACACTACACTGAAAGTTACAAGAAATTACAAAAAAATTATAGAATGCCCACATGTTCGCAGCGCTTTTAAGCATGGGGGCCATTTAAATCCAGTAAGGGGCTGAACCACGCCGGTTCTCTCCCACGTGAGACATTCCTCTCTGCTACGGCACTTTAAAACACAACTAACAGACCAGTATAGCAAATACATATACACGACATAATTTAACATCAAACACTGAGGTGACATTAAGAGGTCAATATGATAATCTTAAGTCTCAGTTAAATGAACCTTACCTTCAACTGTCCTGAAGTGGGACGATGTTATACAAGTAGCAGCAATAAAGCACGAGGAAATGGCGAAAATATCCGGATACGGTCCACAGATTTTTCTAGAAAACTAAAATAATTTGCTGGATTAAAAAAATCTGTGTGTTAGAACAGAGCAGCATTATGTGATTACGTGTGCACTTTCGCCTCCACAGTGGACGAAAAAATGTGGGTGTGGCTCAGTCGCCCCAGCCCAGTTTATATGCCTTCTTGACGGCATGTATTCTGCCGCATAAAAACCGCGGCAAAATACAACATTCTAACCGTTCTACATTGGGGGTTCCGAAACCAGTGGCAGCAATACCACATTGGGTCACTGTTTTTATATAGCTTAAATAAAAAAAATCGGAATGGACTGGAATACTTTAATTTTCATACTAAGGTCGTATCTATGTTTATGGTTGGCGGAGGGATATACTCTACGACTGGGATTCCAGGAAAATGGTGGCGGTAAAGTTAGGACAGAAACACGTGGATGGCGAGGAGAAGCCGGGTGTCTTACTGCGTGTCTGTGGCTCTGACTGACTGTCTGTGTGTCTGAATTTCCTCATAGAGTCGACCGAAACCAACGTATTAACAACATAACGTACAACGCACAGCATTCAAAAGTAGTTAGAAACATATTTAAACGAACAATTTTTTATTATTACCGAATTTAGAGCTATTTGTTCAGATGTCTGTAATCAGCATATATCATTAATGTCGGATTAAAAAAAACTAAATACTTATAATAATTCACAGTTAACGCATATTTTCCAACCAGGGGAAATGTTTTATTTGATAATAAATTGAATATGTGTAATAAATAAAAGTTTTTTGGTTTCTTTTAATGTGAGTCTTGTGTAGGTGAAAGTAAAGACAGTCAGTGCAGAGGAATGTGGTAAGTACCTTACAGGTTTGCTATTTTTGCTGCATGTATTATTATTATTTTGTGAATTAAATTTACATTATGTAATATAACTCTCTCGCACTCGTTTTCTCTCTCTCTTACACGCAGCTCTTACACTGGACTGAAGCATTTTGACAGAGAGAGTGAGACAGTGAACCTCTCACAGCCACGCTGCCCTCATGTTCCAAGTATTGCAGGAGTTTCACTATCAGACTACAGCTTCTTTCAACACGTGACTACTACTACTGCTGCTACTGCTACTGTTTCTCTCACTACGGTTACTACTAGTACCAATATTTCTCTTACCAATGTGTTTAGACACGACCTGTCCTACATTTAAAGACTGAGTTGAGTTTTGACTAATTTCAACATTCTTTGTTATTTGTTATTCAAGTTTTTGAAAACGTCCTTTGCAGAGGAGGAATGTGCATGTGTCTTATAAAAGCAATCGTACTCCCCCCACCCCCCATTGATGACGTTAAAAAACCTCAAAGCTGTCAGTTAAGCCATTGTTAAATTGAGATGTGACGAAACCAAAACACTGATTGAATAAAGTACAAGAATGTATATATATTTATATATATGTATAGTGTACGTGGAGTCAGTCAAGTCAAAAATATATATTGTGCATGTGATTATATTTCACTTTGATACTGTAATAATTAAAACTAATGAATGAAATTACCCTTGAATCACTTTTGAGTAAACAGTGATGGAGGTTAGGCATTAATTAATAAATATAATACCTCGGCTTTTTTTTTATTATTGGCAAGTCCATGTATAGGCATTTGTTCTTAACTGAATTGCCCTTTGACGTAAAACATAAATAATGCATTTTTAAAAAAAAGTGCAATGGGATATATGAATGAAAAAAGCCACCCGTTCACCAGAGGCCATGCCCATTATATATAAACACGTCCACTATAGTACACGTTACATAATGTCAAGCCAGATGCACAGCGCGTCAGCCAATCAGTGTACGAGTCGACAGTTTCACGTGAGCGTGTTCTCTGCAGTAGGCGCTTATAAAATTAAACGCGCGCACGAGCGTATCTCCTGCAGTCTGTATATTTAACGTGATGAGTTCACTGGGTCACCTGACCCTTCCGTTTAAAAATACAGAGGGATCGGGAATCTGTGTAGAAAGAAGACACTCGCGTCCTCCCTTCAATCCTGGTTAAGCTCTTAAAGGGACAGTTCATTTATTTTTCTCAAATGTCTGTGGTCATATCACAGTATTCTCAGCAAAGTCAGAAGAGTCCAGTGTGCAAACGTGTCAGCAGTTGGCCTCGCGTCTAGAAAAGCATCTTTGCTAAGATTATTTCAAGTTTTTGTCAGCTCAGTTGTAGCTGTTGTAAATTATGTAATTCAGTTTTTATTTAAAATTTCTACATATAAAATGATAATTACTAATTACTAAGCAGAAATACAGATACGCAGCAGGACACATTATGGAGTGGGGTGGAGTGTGTATAAAAAAAATAATGTGATGTCAAATACAAATTAAACGTGTAGAGACTTATCAAAAAAAACAACACTGCAGCACACACAGTGTGTGTGACTTTGGATGTTAATACATTTGGAGATGTACAAAAACTTCACTGAAAAAGGGTTAATAAATAGTTGTAGTAGTAGTAGCAGCAGTTGTAGTAGTAGTAGTAGTAGTAGTAGTAGTAGCAGCAGCAGTAGTAGCAGCAGCAGTACCAGCAGGGTGGGTCACACCAGCACAGAGACAAAGACGAGGAATCTGTGTGGAGAGAGAGAGAGAAGGGAAAAAGTGGGTTAATGTGCCACCTGCAGGCCAATTGACAGACTGACACTGAGTGGCCTGGATTGTAAAGCAGTGGAAACACTGAAGCCTGCTGGTCTAGTGAGTAGCCCACGCTGACTCACTCTGTCAATTTAGACCAGTTAGTCACAACTAACTGGGTTTCCCCAAACATGCGAAAGATGACAATTGAGATCCACGAGAACAATGGGTCAAAGAAGAACCATTTAGAACCAGAACAAAAATACTCAAAATAAATACTCCAATACTAACCTTGACACATTTAGTCATCACTTCTTTCTTCATTCTTAACCCTACTCCATCACCTTTTATCAATGAGCCCCTCCCATTTCCCCAATATTAACCTGTCTCTCACGTGTGACTTTAATACTGTAGGAGACTGGTTTATGACGAACGTCGCCGACTGATGATGTCACATCGGCATCAGCTGACTGAATGACTGTTGACGCTGACCCACTGAACTCACAACGCTAAGGGGGGCACACACATACACAACTTGTTACGTTCGGACATCGTCAGGAAGCAAGTTGGACCCAGATACATACTACGGCCGTGTGTGTGGGTGTGTGTTCCGATCTTCACCTTATTTGGGCTCTCGATCCGACAACGCAGACAGAGAGGATACTGCTGCTTTAATTAGAACCTGGAAGTGGATGAGTCAGCCAACCAGACCCCTGTCTCTCTCTCTCTCTTTCTCTCCCTCCCTCCCTCTCCCTCTCTCTCTCTCTCCCTCTCCCTCTCTCTCAGAGCCAAATTCAAAGTGCAGCTCTGGAGAAGAATACTGTGTCCAACTGTGTACTGACACGTGTCCAGTCCCCACCAGGTCTGGAGACTTTTCTATAGTGTCCGAGTCTCTTTTTGAGATTGAAAAAAAAAAAGGGACCTGGAGTGTGTCTGACCTCAAGGGGTGAGAGAAGAGGGGAGAGGAAAGAAGGGGAGAGAGGAATGAGGACAGGAGAAAGAGAAGAGAAGTCATTCTGTCCAGCCTTTGTGTGTGTGTGTGTGTTTTCACAGTACAGACGTCTGTCTTCATACTGAGGTCAGAATAAAGACATGTCATTAAATCCTGCACTGAAGAAAAGTTCTGGTCTGGTACGTTGGCGATGGTCAGTCAGTTAGTCAGTCAGTCAGTCAGTCAGTCAGTAAGACCGACAGACAGACAAACAGGCAGTTAGGTCAGTCAGTCAGTCAGACCGACAGACAGACAGACAGTCAATAGGTCAGTCAGTCAGACAGTTAGTCAGTCAGTCAGACAGACAGTCAGTCGGTCAGTCAGTCAGTAAGACAGACAGACAGACAAACAGGCAGTTAGTCAGTCAGTCAGTCAGTAAGACAGACAGACAGTCAATAGGTCAGTCAGACAGACAGACAGACAGGCAGTCAGTCAGACAGTCAGACAGCCAGTCAGTCAGACAGGCAGTCAGTCAATAGGTCAGCCAGTCAGCCAGTCGGTCGGACAGACAGTCAGTCAGTCAGTCAGTCAGTAAGACAGACAGACAGTCAGTCGGTCAGTCAGTCAGTAAGACCGACAGACAGACAGACAGGCAGTCAGTCAATAGGTCAGTCAGACAGACAGTCAGTCAATAGGTCAGCCAGTCAGCCAGTCGGTCGGACAGACAGACAGTCAGTCAATAGGTCAGTCAGTCAGACCGACAGACAGACAAACAGGCAGTTAGTCAGTCAGTCAGTCAGTAAGACCGACAGACAGACAGACATACAGACAGTCAGTCAGTCAGTCTGTCAGTCAGTCAGTCAGACAGTTAGGCAGTCAGTCAGACAGTCAGTCAGTCAGTCGGTGACTCACTCTTGATTAAAGGCAAGAGTTTTTGGGGTTTTTGACTGACCCAGTTGACGAAGGCGTCGACTGGGCTGTGGGCAGGAAACTAGGCTTCAGTTCCACAGTTTCACAGTTGTGTTGTAACCCACATGTTATCACTGGCATCTGAACCACTGTACTGTACTATGATGAGACCTGACCTCTGTTGACCTCACCTATCAACCTACTTATGTATATCATTCGCAAATGTAGACCGTAAACTGTGAATGTGCAACTCCGTCAGCCAGAAACCTGAGGAGGTTTTAGTTCGTTAACGTTTGTCAGCGAAGCGAAGCGGAGAGGAGAATGTCACGTGACTACGAAACAATTGTCTGATGGTCGGACTTCCCTCTTTTACCCTCTGTTGTAACAGCAACCCCTGTGTTGACTGTTGCTGTGTGTGTGTGTAATCAGCTGGCTTCTGTGTTGGAGCTGATAAAAAGGAATCCTGACTGACAAGAGGCGTGCTATCAGACACACACACATTGAATTCCCCTGAAGTGATTAAACGTTAGGAAAGTGGATTTCTATAGTATAGTATAGTATAGTAGTGTGTGTGTGTGTGTGTTTGTGAAGCCGACTATTTTCCTTGTATCCACTGACGGACCCTATCGGGCTCATGTAGTGGTCTGGGTCTCCACTGACGGACCCTATCGGGCTCATGTGGTCTGGGTCCATGGGCGACTCGGTCAGTCGCCTATTCTTTCTGCATCCCTAAAAGCATAGGCGGAGTTTGCGTGGGGTGGAGGTGGGGGTCAGGAGGAGTACTGCCTCCACATTGGCTGAAATACGTCACGACATTGAGTCTATTATATGGCCACCAATTTCCCTTCCGATCCGATACCGAGTAAAATTCGATACCGATATCGATTTGTCTTTTAAATAATAATAAAAAATGTGTATTTCAAATCATAGCTTCTTTAAGAATCCAAGGCAGTGTTTTTTAATTATTTAATTATTAATTTAATTATTTAACTCTGGAGTGTACTGAGGTAGCTGCCTCATTTACTATACAGTCAACATTTCTAATACATTATTCACCAAAACATGTTATTTGTAAAACAAAAATAATAATCTGAGGAGCCATTTTTGACCCGAAAGAGTCGGATTTTTTTCAGTGAACCGAGCCAAAAGAACCGGTTCTCTAAAAAAAAAGAGCCGAAATTCCCATCAATAGTGACTGAGTGGGAGCACGGAGTAGAGCACCCTGTGCTTACGCATGACGCACACACCCAGGCGGAAGAAGAAGTAGTCCCACCAACCGAGCGTCACTTAGACAACATCTCAATCATTTGGACACTTTTCACCATGTTTCTGTTTAGGATACACCTCATCTCAGAATGCGTAAGTTATCAAAAGTATCGATGTTTTGATTTCAGAATCGATTTCAGAGCATAAAGATCCAGAGATCGGAAGTATCGATATTTCAGGATCGATCCGCACATCACTAAAAACTAGCATTAGTTCTGGTGTCTGTACCAGTACTGTTGTAACTGCAGGTCTGGTCTAGACATTAGTCTGGTCTGATCTGGTCTGATCTTTCTTTGTCACATGAAATATGAAATGGTCCTTTAAGGATCAGGGTTTCCCTCAGAATCCCTGATTTATTTGAATGAATCTGTTGACATATTGCAGCCTCCTCATCGGCCAATGAGGAGGCCGCACAGCTTTAGGGCCAATCAGTACAGAAGCCAGACCTGCCTGGCACGTGACCTACAGTACGTGTGCACTCCTCCACCAACTGTGGTTTGTGGAGATGCCTCAGCCTGCTGCTGTTCCCAGCATTCCAGGAAACTGAGACTGTGGCGTATTCTAGGAACTTTAGGGATCAAAGGAGGTTACCGAGAAGGAGAACGGGAGAAGGGGTAACAGAAGAAGGAGGAGGAGGGGCCAGGAGTAGTGGGTGAAGGGTGGGAGATCAGGGTGGCCCTGGTGTGAGCTCAGGAGCTTTATTTTTTAGGAAGAAGCCGGAAAATGGAAAATGGTTGAAATGTGAGGCAAACAGTGATCGTCAGCAAAGAGGAGTTCCCGCCATCGACGCAAACTGCGACCTCCTCCTGCCGCTCCTGCCGCTTCTCTTGCTCCTCCAGCTGCCACCGCTGCCGACTGTGCTTGTTTATCTTCTCACTTCACTGTAAGATCCACGAAGGAATGGAAAAAAGCCTCTCTGAAGCTACACAGAGAAAGAACTTTCATCAGAAATAAAGCAGAGTTTCCTAAAACTTCCTAAAACGTTAGCTCATGTTCACTCTTTCACACACACACACACAACCGATATTGCTTTCCCCACTTCTTCTTTAACTGGAAACTGACACCTAGAACCAGTTCCCTGCTTCTCCCTCTCTTTGTCCTCCCCCCCTTCTCCCCCTCTCCCACCTCCTCATTCCTCCTTGGCAGATCTTCTAGGAACACTATCACTGATCCTGTTGAACAGCTGGCTTGACAGCAGGGATGAACAGATGAACCCGAAGGGGTCAGCAACCCCTTCGGGTGTTTTAACGTGCATCGGTGTTAGTGGTGCGTCAGAGAAAAAAAAAAAAGTTTGAAGCTCCTCGGTTTATGACGTCCACAAGTCTGTCGTTGACACCTCTGCTGCTGCTGTGTCTCATGTCTGTCCCGGCATGAATCACCAGAGCGAATCATGTGTGACCTCCTAAGGTCAGTTCCTGGGATTTCTGCAGCAGCTCTATTCCAGACACACGTGTGTTGGGTCTGGGAACAACACTCCAGAACAACCAGAAGGTGGGACTCAAAAGACTTTAGATCATCTGGACATGTCCTCAGAGTTTTTTCAGGGAGTACCTTGAAACAAGAAAGACACATGGAACATTTCCACTGTAGCAACTGTACTAGGAACCAAGAACCAATACCAAAAACCAGAGCAGAGAGTGCCAGGAGTAATATGTGATAGCATTGCAGAGGAGAAGAGTCCCAGAATTTAGCACTCCATTCAACTTGTTTTTCAACTCAGCAGCAGTGAAGCATTTGCAGCAGGAACCACATCTGCAGACCGACACACATACGCACAGCTGACGTGGCGTCTGCACGGCACATGGAGAAACATGTAGAGAGAGAAAAAGAAAAAAGGGATTTAGGGGGAGAGATTAGGGGGTGGGACTTCTAAACTGTTCTACCATCCAAGTTCACACCAATAAGGGATTCTATTCACGGTGTGAATCAAGGGTCAAAAAACGGATTTATCTCACCTTCACCAATGACTTACAACCATTCACTCCGTTACATTCACTCCGTTACATTTACTTGAGTTAAGTCTTTCAAAATAAAATACTTCCGGGAGTAGTTTAAAATCACTATACTTTTTACTTCAACAGCGCTCTTACTGCGCTACATTAGGCTATACTGAGCTTGTTACTCGTTACGGAGATACTGAACAAAGCTTTAGCTATTCAGTATCTTTTATTTTGTCAGAGAGAGATTTCGTCTTAACGTCTAACCTGAAGAAATATGTTGCGGTAAGTTTGACCGAAAATTGTTTTTTTGTTTTTTTTAATTATTTTGTAAATGTACTCTTGTATGTATTATTTTATTGATTTGTGTTTTTATTAAAGTAGACCTACTTAAATTTACCTAAAGATTATTTTAAGGTATTAACTTAATTTGTTTTATTTTAGTATTTTATTGATAGGATAACCTCTCCTCCTACTTTTTCCTAGCTAATAAAATAAACCAGATGTTACTCAACAGTTCTCAGTACTTGAGTACTTTTTGACTCTTACTCAAGTAATTATTTGGATGACTACTTTTTTTATTT